ATTTGAAGTATTTGTTCCCAGACCTTTGGTGGTGTACAGCAATCTTGAATTGTGAGAGCCATGAAAGCCCTGGAAATGAAACCATTCATCCATGTAATGAAAAATAAATAAAGAAACTTGGTTACCAGACTTTCATGGACTCAATTCCACCATTTAAATAATCCAAAACTACAAAGCACTTTTGTTATATAACCCAACTTCCTATTTTCATAACCCTAACCCAAACTACCTCTGAATGAGAACAATTACATATACTACATTGTAATAATTCTGTATCTTAATTTGTTTTAGCATACATACAAAGGGCAGACTGGCTGAGAAATGTACCGTTCTTATTAGTTATCAGAAGTGTTTTTTAGTATAATTGACATTTTCCAAAAGTAGTTTATTAGTATCAGCTAAAATGGCACAAAAATAAATCCAAGCAGGAGTAAATTAATTTATTTCTTGATTTAATAAAATTAACTGAATTAAGTTAATTCAATTTTAAAATTAATTTTTTCATCACATTCCAATGGACTTTACATATTGCACAGCCTTTGAAAATGCCTGCATCGCTTCACAAAGGTAGATCACCAGAATTGTATGGATTCTCTACATTGCAGAGATTATTTTTGTTTATGCACAAACACTTTGGAACTACTTTCAAGTTGTAATATTATGTAACCAGTGGTAGGTTGTTCCCAGTTCGGTCCGGTTCTTGCAAACCTGTAGTAACAGCAGCGGGAGGCTCCGCCTACCCTGCCGGACACCATCATGAACTATCTGCGCATGTGCAGAAGCTTCTGTGCATGTACGCATGCTCCCATTGCAAACCAGTAGCAGAGGTGAATAGAACCCACCCCTGTACGTAACTACTATATGCAATAATTATTCACTTATTAACTATGTGCAGTAATATCAAGGAATCACAGCACAATCTAAAGCTTTATGTGTAGTAAACTCTGTGAGAATGTAGAGGATACTGGCTTTGTTTCAAGCTTTCTTTGGAAAGGATGACACCAAAAATACCAGGGGTTGGATGTAGATTATAGGAAGCTGTTTTGGCATTAATACAAGTGCTTTAAATTAAATAAAAAGTGTACTCTGATTTGTGCATGGAAACAGTTATTAAAATATGAGATAAAGTTCCAGTACATTGTAGCATATGTCTAAAGCAATGGAATATGACATTTTGACAATAACTTCTAATTTATAGCTTTATTACATATAAGTTATGCATTACAAGCCATAGACACTACATATTAGGCTATGAAGTGATACCATATGGCAACAGCATTCTGACCGAACAAACATTTTAGCTATCTTAGTCCCAGACATCTATGTAATAGCCTTTTACTGCCAACTGAGATTGTTTGGAATAGTTCTATTAAGTCCTGCTAAATAGCAATGTAATGAAAACAAATGTTTGTATGACTGTGTGTGTGATGCATTGCTTTCATCTATATAACTCAGAGTACAAATCACAGAGTCAATTACAGTTCAGTAATATGGATTATTTTTCGCTATTTGTTTTGGATGGAAGAGTGGTGCTGCTCTTGGGAATTAGAAGAACATGAGCTGACATTTGGGTGGCATGAGTATTACTGGTATGAAAAAGTCAAGGTTAATGTAGATTTTAAAAATCATTATGTTAGACATTCCATACTGAAAATATGGAATAAATATACTGTAAACCCAGGTTGTGCCAAAAAACGCCTTTGTGGTTCTCCCACACTAAGCATTTAATAAACAAGACAAGAAATAAAAGGCAACAGACATGGCTAATTTATCATGAGATTTTTGTCAAGGAGAATGTAAAATTAAGACAAATACAATTTTCTCTTAATGGCAGAGGAATATTACTGTCAATAGTTTTTCTTGTCAGTTGCGAAGTCGTGTCCGACCCATCGCAACCCAATGGACAACGTTCCTCCAGGCCTTCCTGTCCTCTACCATCCTCTGGAGTCTATTTAAGCTCACGCCTACTGCTTCAGTGACTCCATCCAGTCACCTCATTCTCTGTCGTCCCCTTCTTCTTTTGCCCTCAATCTTTCTCTCTTCTCTTCTCCAGTGAGTCCTTCCTTCTCATTAGGTAGCCAAAATATTTGAATTTCATCTTCAGGATCTGGCCTTCTAAAGAGCAGTCAGGGTTGATCTCGTCTAGGACTGACCGGTTTGATCGCCTTGCAATCCAAGGGACTCGCAGGAGTCTTCTCCAGCACCATAGTTCAAAGGCCTCAATTCTTTGGCGCTCAGCCTTTCTTATGATTTAAAATAGACAAAGGTATTTATGACTTTGACACTATGAGGCTGAGCTTGAAACAGAATTGTGTGCAAATGATAAACAATTGCTAAAATGATGAACATGCAATTGCTAAAATGAATTGCTTGAAATTTGAATTTTATTAAATTTGAAACAGAAGAACAAATGAAAGAAGGAAGTGGGCTAAAGTATATTTTAGATGGAACAATGGGAAAATGTGATTGAAAGAAGTGAAATTTATACTATATTCTTGTTTTAAAGAGAATTATTATAAAACAATGAACCATTGGTATATATCACCAGACAAATTGTCTAGAATGTATAAAAGGCACTTCAAATTTATGTTGGAAATGTAAACAACAAGAAGGGACATTTGATCATGCTTGGTGGATGTGTAGAAAAGCTAAAAAAAAATATATAGTACATAAACATAAAATACATATACTGATTCAGAGAATTTTAAAGATTAATAAACAACTGAGAACAGATATTTTTCTTTTCAAATCAATGGACAAACAGTTGGGAAAAAAGTCATGGACCTTTATTTTTGTATATGATAACTGCATCAAGATTATTGTATGCACAAAGTTTGAAAGATTCAGCATTACCGATAATGGAGGAATGGTTGGTGAAGATGTTGGAACTTGTTGAGATGGCTAAATTGACTTCTTTGATCAGAGAAAAGATGGTGTATATTTGTTTATTGTTGATTGGAAACCCCTTATGGACTTTTTGTGTAAAACAGAAAAAAATGAGCTTATTATTTATGGTTTTGATTATTAGGTAGGATAGATTATAGAAGGGAGAGAGTTATGTATCATCTGGTATGATTATGGAGAAGAGAAGCTACTCAATTGTTCCTTTAGTGTCATGTCTGGATCGATATTAATATGAACATCTTGTGGGCACTTACCTGGATGGGACTGGATTGTACCTTGGGATCTGCATGTCAACTAGACCTCTGGGTTTTCCTCTTTTTGGGGAGGGGGGGCTCTTATGGAGCCGAGGATGGACTGTGTTTGCCCATGGGTGCTCTGGCCATATTTGCTGCATTGATTGGTAACTGATGGACCCAGAGGGTTTCAGAGGGAGCTGGAGGTTGTTCCTGCCAGTCTGCTGTATGGTCCATCCTCCATTGATGTTATCCCATTCTATATCTCTTCTCCTTGCAAATTAAGCAATGCCATGACTGTGAGGGTCTGAATGGTGGAAAATGGACTTCAGCTGAATCCTGGCTGAAGACTAAGTGACTTTGGGTTTTGGAGCCTACCGATTATAGGACTGTGCCATCTTTGGTGGTGGATGGAGTTGCACTCCCCAAACAGACTCGGTGTGCAATCTGCGGATTCTTCTAGACTCACAACTCTTGCTCAAAGAGCTGGTGGAAGTCATAGCTAGGAGGATCTTTCTACAACTTTGTGATGTTTTATTTATTGTATTTTGTCGAGTACATATTAGTGTCAATTGCACTCGTTTTTGGATCAAGAGACTCTGCTCATAGTCATTCATGCCCTGGTCATCTCCTAGTTGGTCTACTGTGGTGCAGTGTACATGAGGCTTCCCTTTCAATAAGTATCCAAAAGCTTCAGCTGGTACATGCAGTGGGGCAGGCAGGAATGTGTACTTCCAAAACAAAACATGTCACACTCCTGCTCTACGAGCTGCATTGGCTGCCAGTTTTCTACTTTTTCCAATTCAAGGTGCTGGTTTTAAACTTTAAAGCCCTTCATGGCATGACACTGGGCTATCTGAAGGACCACCTGTCCCCAATTATAACAGCTTGTCCCATTAGTTCTGGCAGAGAAAGAATATTGTGGGTACGAGGGATTTAAATTTGGGCCTTCTCTGCTGGGGGACCCACCTTATGGAACATTCTCTCCCCCCAGCCCCAAAAATCAGGTAAATCCATCTTTGTTAATGTTCTGCAAGTCCTTGAAGATCTGATTATGTCATCAGGTATGGATGTTCCAGAGATCCAAACACATTCTAAGATGGTTTCATTATTGCATTTGATATAGTCACTCTTTGTGCTTTGTTGTATTATTATTAATTTTTTAATTTTTGATCGTTTTATATACTTGTTGTTTTATGTGATTGTTGTATGCCCCCCAGAGTCACTCCTAGTAAGATGGGAAGCTTTATAATTGATTAATTTAATAAAATAAATAAATAATATCACATTTTCTGTACAATAAAGAAATTTAGAATATAAAAAGTGCTATGCAGATTATCAATGATTAGTTGCAAGATGGAAATAAGGTAAATCTTTTTCCATTTTATAAGATTCTGTAAACTGATTAAAATCAAGACTGCAGAACTGTATGTCAAAACTGAGGTGATGATTCCTCTCTCTTAGAAGATCAAGTACTCTAATGTACTATTCTAGAAATTCTATTACTTCATCACGAGTTTTCAGGCTCATCAGTAAGACAAATATTTGCATACTATGTCCTGAACTCAGTGTAAAATAAATATGTGAAATAGTTGGTGAGTGATGGCAAACTGTCATTGGGGTAATTCCCCTCTTACTCAAGTTTATATTAGCCTGAATCCATGGAAATGCTAAGGCTCCTAAGCTGCATGGAGATCTGCTAATAAAATCGGACATCAATGTAGAATTTTATTCAATGTTGCATGGCACGAGCATGCATGAATTATTAACTAGTACTTTAAATAAAATTTCTCCCACACAAAGAATGCAATTTGCATAATACAGTTTGTATAATACTAAATAAATTCAGTCTTAGAAGAAATATATGTGATTTGGTATTTACAAATTTTAAAGTAAGAATCTATTTATTTAGAGTACAGAAAGGATTTATTTCACATAACTATAATTTATTGCAGTATCAAATTACCATTGAACCCAGGATCTAGATTATTTAATGAATCTGTGTGTCAATATATTAGCATAATAAGAAATTGCTAGCTGTTTTCTTACATGCTAAAAGTATCTTCCACACAACAGAAGAGCTTCTTAACCAGCCTTTTCGTGCTCTTGCCTTTGATGCCCAAATAGCTATGCACTGTAAATTTGAATACGGTAACACAGTAATATTCAGTTAAGTCCAAATATAGCTGCCAGAAGGTAAAATTAGCATCCTGACTTTGCCTTCATTATCTTCATGAGCCAACAAGCATAACTTGATTGGCAACCAGAAAAAACGTTTAAATATCACTGAATTTAAAAAAAAAATACTTTACAAAATTACAATAGCATAAATAGAGTGGGAAGAGGAAAACTACTAGTGACTAATATCTAGTTTGCTGCAGTCTCATGCAAATAAAATGTTAATGAAAACCAATATAATAACTGGAATTTTGATATTATAAAAAAATTAAAAACTTTTAACAGAAATTACAATGATTACTGATTGCATTTCAATAATATTTCATATTTAAAATAATATTCCTGACAAGAAATACAGTAGATAAATTGTGTTGATCAAAATATACAATAATATGTGCATTACATATGTTTATTACATACATATAAAATAAATCTAATAACATATATACGATTTTAGCACTTGAAAAAATGCCATCAGTTTTACATTGTGAGCAGTATTACAGACAATGAAAAAGTTGATTTTGTTTTAATTTTTATCAATAAAGAGATCATTATTTGTACAATTGGCTCTAAAACATATCAAGTGAAGAGGAATAGTAGTGTTCTGAAAATGTTTTTTCAAGATTTTATGCAAGAGTTCAGCTTCACTCATAACAATAATCCTTTACTTTGCTTTTTAAAAAAAACACCTTCATGCAGGTCAAATTTTTATGGAAGTCCCTACTGATATTTACAGTAATTTCATTTTTCTCACTTAATGTTTTAGTGCAAATTTTAAAACAGTATTTCTGTATTTGCAAGGGCATCCTTAGACAGACCACATAAAGTCTCTTATGTCTTTATTGTATGTCACACTAATGCAAACAAACAAAAAATATATATTTACTCGTTTTATGGATTATTTTTCTGATGTTCCATATCAACAATTATTGTGTTCCATTAATTCTTCCATTCAACTTTCTTGTTAACTTTGAATGAAGTAGGGTATAAATAAAAAAAATAGGAATATTTGAGTGAAGCCATAAGTATTATTGAAAATTTAATGTGTATATCTGTGCTTTCAGGGGTGTAAGAATATACACTGATTAATAATGTACTTATTGCAAAAGAATAAAAGAATTTAACATACCAGTAACTGAAGTACAACTTTATGAAGTAGAAAAAGACAAACCCATGTGGAGCACCATATACTCAGAGTAAATAAAAAAGAAACATTTATTTACAATATAGTATTTTGTGTGTGTATATAATAAACAAAACTTGTAATATATCAACATTTTATTTTACATTATTGTGCTCATTAATTTATCAATTGTATGTCATTAGACAAACAAGGTTGCAGTATGGTTATAATAATTTTATAATTTCTGATTTTGATTTTGTAATCTTGTCAGTAGATATTTGCTACAATAAGGACCACACGTAAGCACACACAAACTTTAATTAAAATTTTCATGCTTTGTGAATAATTAATAAACTATAATTGAGAATCCTATTTATTGTGCTATATGTGTCATGAACATTAATGCCTGAAATCCTGTTGGTGTGTATAATTCTACTACAGTATTCAGTTTAGTTACACTGCGGTAATCTTATTTTGGGTTCTTGCAGCAAATAGTTAGGATTGCATATTGAATCTACTGTGATAGCACCATTGCCAGAAAATAATTAAAATAGTAATTATAAAAGGAATGAAAAGACAACGAAGTTATCATAATTTGTGGATTTATCTGCTCTGTGGAATTTCACCTGATCTGTTTTTATACTATAAAATCAATTCAAGTGTTTGAGGATAATTCATTGGTACTCATCATTCTGTATTTTGCCAGAATATCCTCTAGTGTAAATACAACAGTAAAATAAATTGTTAAGACTATGTATTATATTAGTAAACTCCTTTTAATTCTTTGGAATACAAGGAGGAGTTACTTCAACAAATATTTCTATTTGTTGAAGTTAATATATGATTATGGTATCTGCGTAAATGAAAAGATAGCTCTTTTCATAGCAAGTAAATCATAAAATCTTGAGGGGTTGATTGTAGCTTATCATATTCACTGATTAAAAAACACCACTTGTATAAAAAATGTCTTTCAGTTCATATATTGTATTTTGCCTGTTAGGAAATCTTTACAATAGCCTAAAATATAACCTATAAGAGGTAGGCCTATTGTTTAAAAATTCACAGTTTCCAAAATTGCTGAAGGGAAATATATACAAATATTGGTAAATTTCATATTTTAAGAAGCAGCAAATTTAATGCAGAATTCATGAGCAGCCACAACGATCTACTACCATAGCTGGTATTTTCCCATATATTATTTGTTCTTTTCCATTGAAATACAACATATTTATTGGGGACATCTTAGTAGGTGTGCAGCAAGGGCCTGCTGAACCTCTTGGATTTGCTTGATGTACCAGATGAGTATGTGGATATTTTTGTAAAAACACAAATTCACATTCTCCAGAGCAGTAGTTTGCTTTATATCTTTTGGGTGCGATAATCCAGTCCCATCCAAAGGCTTCAAAATCCACTGTCAATGGGTAACGACAACATCGAGATTCTGTTGAGTGTTCGTCACAGTCAAGCCCAAAATCTCTACGTGATCTTTTTGGGGTATCTGTAATCTTGACCTCTAAAAAAGGATTCTATAAATAAAAGGAAATGAATAGTATGTTGGGAAAAGATAAATTACTCAACATTTCATATAAGATACATTTTTTCTACGTATTCTCTGGCATTTAAATACTGTCATCTTTGAATGTTCAATTTTGACTACAAAATAATGATCCCTTGCAACTGATTCTAATAATGTTTCTATAAACCTTATTTTTATAGATAATTTTAAATTTTGAACTGCAACTAACATCCACTGAATGGTATCTAGGAACTGTACAATACTTGTAGCCTAGAGTTTCTTCAGCAGCAGCACCCTTCAGCAGCAGTACATGGTAATCAATTTTAGAAAACCAAATGCATTTTCAAGTTGTTCAAAGAATGAAAAGAATAACCATTGTTTTAACAGAAGAACAAGATTTTTCTTTGTTTTTACAATTTCCCAATATTTTCCAACCTGTTCTAAAAGACCTCTCATTTCTCTGAAATAGAATAAATGGGGAACTGTATGGAAAAATATTCCATCCCACAAAAAACATCCAGTCTATTGATGTATGAACATAGTTTAAATATTCCCCTAGCAATTGTCAAGTTTTAAGCAGAGGAGCATTTAGTTACAACTATTTTCTTCTTGTCAATCATATACAAGAGAATAAAAAGAGTAGCAAAAAGGGAAAATAGATTAAGTATTGATTACTTAATTTTAAAATCTGTATTTTTCTGTATTGTTCTAAATATCCGTAAAGTTTCCCAAATTTATTACAGAGAGACAATGTACAGTATATTTATATACCTTACATCATGGATTTATTCCTCAAATAACAGCAGTTCAGAACAAATAGCAGTTCTAAATTAGATTTGTACTTTTTTTTCTTTGTATCCTTAAAATATTTGTCTCAATCTTATCAATATATATATTTGGCTGTAAAAGAAGCGGTACAGGTTATCTAGTTACAAACCAGTTATCAGTTATATATACTTTCTTCAACGGAAGTATATAATTCTATGTCTCTGTGTACTTACTATTTACTATTTACAAATATATTTACTATTAAACTTGTTTCATGTTTTCTAAAACTACTTAGAAGCTCAATTACTCCACATTTAAATATTTATAAAAATCCTGAACTCATTAAAACCATAGCAGTTTTTCCAACAGAATTGATTTATTGCTAGCTGGCTATAATTATTTTAAAATAACTCTATTTAATCATGTTTACTGTATTTAATTTAATAAAGAGGCATAATAGTTCATTTAAATAGAAAAATTAAACAGCATCTGTTAGAAATGGAAAATGGAATTATGCTTATTGAAATATAATGTAATGGGTTTACAACTTTTGGTAGTTATTTAGTCACTGCTGTTATAACTATTGCAGAATGACTAGAATAGTATTACAAAAGAAACTGATGAGCAGATGAGCACTCCACTGAACTCCTTTCATTAAGTAAGTGATATATTTTCTTTACCAATGTTATATCAGATGAGATGTTAGATCTTTGAACATTACTTTTCTATAACTCAATGAAATGACTTCAGGGTGTGCATTCTATTCAATGCTATACAATAGTAGAAAGGATAGGCAGTGTTTTTTTCTGTCAATTCCTTTCATAGTGGCAGTATCATAGTAATCCAGTGAGTTAGTGCAATAGTAAATTACAATGGCAAAATACAATTTTATAAAACATTAGACAATAAATCCCAGGAAGTTTAGGTAAAGTAAAGGTAAAGGTTCCCCTCGCACATATGTGCTAGTCGTTCCCGGCTCTAGGGGGCGGTGCTCATCTCCATTTCAAAGCCGAAGAGCCAGCACTGTCTGAAGACATCTCCATGGTCATGTGGCCAGCATGACTCAATGCCAAAGGCGCATGGAACGCTGTTACCTTCCCACCAAAGGTGGTTCCTATTTTTCTATTTGCATTTTTACGTGCTTTTGAACTGCTAGGTTGGCAGAAGCTGGGACAAGTAACGGGAGCTTATCCCGTTATGCGGCACTAGGGATTCGAACCACTGAACTGCCGACCTTTCGATCAACAATTTCAGCGTCTTAGCCACTGAGCCACCGCGTTCCTTTTAGGAAGTTTAATGGCAAGTAAATATACTTATAATCACCACCTTTAAAAAGTTTTGAGGGTTTTTTTGCTCATTACTGATACTAAGTGACAAAAATGCTGAGGACTTTAAAGAAGAACTTACCAAACCTTCTTCTCCTGGTCCTGGGTAGGTCACTGCAATATCTCTTCCCTTTTCATTCAAAGCTTTGATTTCAATACCCAAGTTGGATTCAGGTTGTTTAAGCCAATTTTGCAAAACAGTCTTCACATCAATGCTCTGCCAAATACCAGTGCCTGGGTTCATGTCAAGTTTCAAGGATCGAATTGCAGTCGAAGTTGTACCATCTTTCATAGGTCTGATGAGTCTCAGGATCTGCACAAATATTGTTGTAGGCCTCTGGACTTGTCTTAAGTAAATCCACAACTGGGCTTTAACTACTCTGTTATACTGTATTTTAGAACTAAATTTAAAGAAGCAACATTTGGGTTTTCCTTCCACAGGTATAGGAAAATCAGCTATAAGTAAATGAATAAGAAAAAAAAAACTTGCTTGCAAATGAATATATTTTTTAAATATTTTTTAAAATATTTTTTAAAAGTATTATATGTATATATACATACATACATACATACATACACACACATACAGTATTTGTATATATAGTGATTCCTTTTTTTACTGAAGTTGATCACACTGAATAAAAAGGAACAGTGAAAAAAATGCATATTGTTTACCACTGCAGAAGGAGGGAACCTGTGCCTTCAAATACACAAATTCAATTCCCTGCATCTCCAACTTCTACATCTCTCATCATGGACCAAGTTGGATTGGATTTCTAAGAATTATTGATTCTCAATATCTGAGTGTACTCCATCCTTGCTACAGGAATTCTATTGGACTTTGGCATGCATGCGAGAATTTCTTTATTTAGTAAGAATAAAAATTAAATTACTGGAGTTTCTAGTTGACAGTACTCATAATGTACAATAATTATTTTAGAAATGGCCCTATGGAAACACATACAGGTAGTCTTCAACTTACAATAATTCATTTAGTGAGCGTGCAAAGTTACAATGGCACTGAAAAAAGTGACTTATCACCATTTTTCACACTAATGACCATTGCAGCATCCCCAAGGTCACATGATCAAAATTCAGATGCTTGAAATTGGTTCATATTTATGACGGTTGCAGTGTTCTGGGATCATGGGATCAGCTTTTGCAACTTTCATTGACAAGCAAAGTCAATGAGAAAGCCATACTCATTTAACAACCATGTTGTTAACTTAACAACTGCAATTATTCACTTAACCACTGTTGTAAAAAAGTTCGTAAAATGAGGCAAAACTCTTTCAGCAACGTAAATGTTGGCCTCATTGTGGTCATAACTTGAGGACTACCTCTAGTAGAAAAATACAGAACTTTGAAATACTAAAATGAAAATATTCTAATTTTATTAAGTCTGACTTTTAAAAAAGCTCTGTGGAACAAATTCATTAAATTTTAAGAAAACTAATGGAAATATTTAATCCAAAGGCTGCAGAGTAAATTAAAATGTTCATGATACTAGCATCTGCATAGATTTTTTAAATTTATCTTTCAGCCTGGCATTTCATGTTTGCAGTGTGCAGTCTTCTTGTGAAAAGTTACTTAAGAAGAAAACAGATTGTAAATACTCCCTGGAATTCTTTGGGAGTTTATTACTTAGAGTAACTGACCAGCTGTACAAATCACTCTTTGAAAAACCTTCAATCAAAAAAAGATATTGAACGCACTGTATTATATTTTCAGACTGATAAAAGTTGAGCACCTAAGATCTTAACTGAATATTTATTAACCGTAAGTGTTTAATATAAACAAGATTGCAAAGAAGTTATAAGAGAATTCAGATTTTGCTTGTGCAGTAATAACACTGATAAGTTATTATTTTAGGTACAATAACTTATTTTATTTTTAATTATTTGTCCATGTCTAATCTGGTTTATGAATCCTGAAATTACATTACAGTTATGAAGAAACTAATGTTAGCATGTAATGAACTGAGAAAAACAAGTTACCTAAGGATACATATACGTGCCTACAAGATGTCTTTTTATATGTGCCTTGGTGTGATATGGATTATATTAATAGAATCACATCACATCGGTATACACAAAACCATACCTGGAAGGCATGTATATGTGCTTGTAACCAAGTTACTATTCTCAATAGTAGCAAGAGTGCTAAAGTTGCACTTATTCTTTGTCTCTTTTTATACATGACTCTATTTCCTGATTGAGATGAGATTTGGGACTGATCTAGAGACAAGAGCACATCAAATTGCTCAGCAGAGCTTTGTGCCTGAATGCCTTGCTGTGGTGTAACAGCAGTGTTTAAATCGATTTTATAATCCTGGAAGCAAGATCCACTGAATTATATTCTTGAAGATAAAACTCCACAACATATACACATTAAATATAATGAAAATGAAATGAAATGAATGAAATTCATTTTCATCATAAATGAAAATTCAAATAAATAGAAAAAAGTTTTTCCCCCAGATGTTTCTCCAGTCAACAAAGATGAATAATTTTTGAAATGATTTGCAGACATTTTGTAACAAAAGCAATTTAATTCCTTCTTAATACTTACGACTATTCTTAAATATATTTAGATTATTGCATTTAGATGAAATAGATGCTATTCTTAGTATTATATCAAATGAAATCTCAGTATAGTATATCACTGCTGTCTGCTGGTAGCAAATCTGTGTCCTGTGGGCCAAAGTTTTCATTTTACAATATTTCATCATTGCCTTAAGTGTTATTCTGAAGACAGCTGCCATGTCCAACTTTAGCTAATGAAGAACATAAGATACTATAATATAAATTCAGCAAAGATACTTGATAGGAGCTGTGGCAGATGCTTAGCACTAAGGCGATAACGAAGAAATGCTCATTCAATAAATAACTTCATTTCTTCTTAACATAACTAATGTTTATTCATAAACATTAAATATAGCACTGTTGAAAATTAAAAAATGAGTTTCATTATGTGGCTGTTAAAACTATATAGTTTGTGTTCATTGATGTCTGTTGACAAGCCCATGAGTTAGAAAAAGAAGTATATAACAGTTGAGCTCAAGTTGTTGTGAACTTTTTGTAAACCACTTAATTGATTTTCCAATCATTTCAGTGACTCAAAGGGAAAGGCTTCATTAGGACAATTTATCTGAAAGTGGATTCCAATGTTTTGAATATAATTACAACTGGACAAGGATTCAGGATGAAAACCTTATGGATTTTTATCTTGGTAAAAAGGTAAAAGGTAAAGGTTCCCCTCGCACATATGTGCTAGTCGTTTCTGACTCTAGGGGGCAGTGCTCATCTCTGTTTCAAAGCTGAAGAGCCAGTGCTGTCCGAAGATGTCTCTGTGGTCATGTGGCCGGCATGACTAAACAGCAAAGGCGCATGGAGCGCTGTTACTTTCCCACCAAAGGTGGTCCCTATTTTTCTACTTGCATTTTTTACATGCTTTCGAACTGCTAGGTTGGCAGAAGCTGGGACAAGTAATGAGAGCTCACCCTGTTACCTGGCACTAGGGACTCGAACCACTGAACTGCCAACCTTTTGATCGACAAACTCAGCTTGGTAGTGAATCATAGTCCCTCTGAGGTGAAATTGAATTGGTTCTCCGGATGTATGATGTCATAGTATTTGGTATGTTATTCCTGACTAGTTGATATTATGTAAATACAAAATAAATTGTAATAATTAAAAAAAACATATACTAAAAGAACAAATCTGCAAAGATAAACAAAAGTTTTAATGGTGTAAACAAACTGTGTGGTAAGTCAGTTTGGTGTAGTGGCTAAAACACCACACTAGAAACTGGGAGCCCGTAAGTTATATTCTCACCTAGGTAAAAAGCCAGTTAGGTAACTTTGGGCCAGTCACTCTCTCCCAGCCCTAAAAAATTCCCAAAACATCTTTCCTAAAAACTAGTCCAGGGACTAGTCTAGTTGCCAGGAGTCAAAAACTAAATCAAAAGCACCAAAAATAAAAATAAAAACCAATAGAATTGAAAAATGATTTTTACATAAATATTTTTAAAATTCTAATTTCCATATCTCTGTAATAAAAATAACATATGATACATGAGCAGATTGGAGTGATGATATTTGGTTTAGAGTGTCATTTATGTGAATGTATTTTGTTTTCCACTTTTCAGAAAAACGTTTTTAAAACCAGGCTCTTCAGAATGTGTCTTTTCTATGTAGTTCTTTTCATATCTACAGCAAACAGATGTTTATTGTAGAATAATTTTTATAAGAAAATATCTTTCTACTTTTAAAAATAGTGTCTCTTTAGTGCGTGCTTTAGAAAGCAGTTTGTTTGAAAAGTCTGAAATGTGGCTTCTCAGCACAAAGACAAAAGTGTTTGTTAATAAAGGAAATATTAACAAAAGTTACTTACAGTCTGTAGGCATTGTAATAATAGTTTCTGTTGTAGCGTGATAATCGTCATCTTCTAAAGAGTCATCACTATTGTCATCTCTCTGGATATCATACTGATCAATCAGTTCTTGTAGTGGAGGAGCTTTAGGTAAAAGTTGCCTTATAATATCCCGGCTAATGTTAGGTGCTTGTTCTAGACGCAGTTTACTGAGGATTTGAATTTTTATAGCTTCTATTCTTGAAGATTTTGTATTCTGCCTCCATGTACATGCATTGCATAGTCCACCTTTTTCTGTATCCTCATTTGCCTGATTACTTTCATTAAGTTCCACCGGTATGATTAACATGAAAAGATAAATACACAGATACATTTTTAGTTAGTGTATAATCACACTTTCAAAACAGGTCTTTTTCCTTCTTTTTTCTTTCTCCTTTTCCTTCTCCTTTTCTTTCCTTTGGTTATTTTTTTTAAAAAAATCTTCCAGTACTCTGTGAATCACTGAAGGCAAATGCAATCTGAGACACCTCAACACTCTGGTGAATCTTGTATGTTCCAGAGAGCTTTTTATATTCCAACCTTCATTAGACTTGTGTCGTCAAAACTAATGATTGGCTGTTAAACCAATAATGAATCTAGCTGTCAGATGTTAAAGCTGTATCTGCCATAAATTGGTTGGCTGCATTTTGTTTCTGCCAATGATGAACTGGTTTGCTTATTATTCCATAGAGAGTATCTGCTCACATGCTGAAAAAATATTTCCAAAGAGCACCGTGAGCAGTATCAAAAGATAATATTACCATTCTTAAATTTGAATCAGCTGTTTATTTTATAATGGATCTGTTCCCGTATCAAAAAAAGTCAACTTATGAATAAAAAGAATCTTACATTTTAAAGATTTTATCACAAAGATTTACCCCAAATATTATATTACAGTATTAGTTGGAAAAATGAGATTCATTTGATTCCAAGGGATTTAGAGCTTCATGCATCACAGCAATTATTAAGAATATTTTTATTCATTTAATTACATTTAAGAAGAGCATACAAATACTCAAAATGAAGTGTCCCTCATTTTTAATTTGGTTCTTGGTACCTGAATCAACATAGTCATGTTGTTTTCTTAAAAAGAGTACAAAGTGGTTTGCCTCCCCCCCCGCAAGGATTTCCTAGTGGTCTCCTACCTATACTAAATGAGCCTGATCATTCTTAGCTTATTTGAGATCTCCCAAAATTGGCTTGGTGCTCTCATGTCCTACGGTCATATAATTATTCAGTGTAGATGGAAACAGATGGAATTTCATTCTCTTTGTGAATGTTAATATTCTTATCAATGGTGGCTCTAAATTTTGGGGAGCCTAACCAAGACACTGTCAGAGGGAACCCAGTGTTATTCTCTAGGCTCCTGTTCTTTTTAATTTTTTTAACCATCAGATAATTTATTATGTAGAGAATCGCATTTAAGGACTTCCCATTTCCGGGGATTCTCCTAAAGTTCATTCTTAGTGGCACTGCACTCCAAAGTTTGGACTAATGTGTAATTTGGGGATCCTCCTGGACTCTCAACAAAGGCTTAGCTCTTAATCAGTGAACAAGTTGCACTTATGGCTAGGATAGCCTTTGTACAGATTCATTTGATGTACCAATTTTGTCATTTGAATCAGGCAGCCCTTCAACTAAAGCTGATAGAAGGTGCAGGAGAATGAATAGCTATAAGCATACCCCATTTTATTCAAGTAATGCCTCAGTTTCATAATCTGCACTGACTAACAATTGGCATCTAGAAACAATTCATGGTGGATCAACCAGTATGATCCAGACTCAGGACCTAGATACCCATGAGATTGCCTTTCTCTGCCCATCTTGTAAGATTTGGCAGGGTCAGAATGTTCCAGGCACCATTCTTTAAGCGGTATAATTTTAATTGGCTTTTTCAGTAATAGCCCCTGCCCTTTGGAAGAACATTCTTCCTTATGTCCATGTCATCCTGAATGCATTATCTTTTAATGCCAGCTCTTGACACCAGCCCTGATCCAGAAACTAAATTTAATACACAAAAGAGACACCTGTGCCAGAAAATTTAGGAAGCCAACACATGGCCACAGGATTGGAAATGCTCAGTGTTCATTCCACTCAGAAAAAGGTTACTCTAAAGATTGCTCCAATTATTGCACAATTGCTCTCATCCCTCACATCAGCAAAATTAAAATTATATAACAACGTCTAGTACTAACTGTCGAATGGGAATTACAGATGTCCAAGCCAGTTTCCGAAGGGGTCATAGCACCTGCAACCATATTGCAAATCTGCACTTGATCATGGAAAAATCTTGTGAATATTAAAAGATCATTCACCTGTGCTTCATCAACTACAAGAAAGCCTTCAATTCAGTAGTGGGATTCTACTGGTTCGGACCAGTTCGGCTGAACAGGTAGTTCCCACTTCCTGCCTAGAGCGAACCGGTTCTCTGTTACTGTGAAAGTGGGCCCGCACACCCGCTCCCGGGTTAAACTGACCTTTATTTTTGCTTCTGAAGCCCAGCTGATCAGGGGCAGCAGATTGAATTGGCCCTGTTTTCCTTGCTCCTTTCCTTGTTTGCAACGTGGAAGTTCAATTTTATGGAAACTGTGCACGTGCATGCTCAGCAAACCAGTTGTTCAACTGGTAGGATCCCACCCCTGCTTTAATTGTGTTGATCATGAGAAGCTACCAGCACATCTGGTCAAGTTAATGGAATCACTGTTCACAAATCAGGAAGCCATGAACACCATATGGAGAGACCAATTGGTTTAAGATGGAGAAAAGAGTGAGACAAGAGCAAAGTCGGACATGACTGAATGGATAACATCATCATCAACAACATCCTTTTCACTGAGGCAAGCCTTGACTATAGTGGATTTATACAATATTGCAGGATCCAACCTGGGTCGGCCATTGGGATCAGAGGTTTAGTCTTCCGAGCTTTTGGACTCATGCTAGAGCCCATCCTCAGTGAACTGCTCTCTAGCAGAATATCTCTCACGCATTCTGCTAGAGAGAAATGCAGGATAGACTTCAGCACAAGTCTGAAAGTTCAGAAGACTAAACCTCTGCTTCCAGTGACTGGCTCAGATTGGATCCTGCAACATTATCCTGGGACATGTATATTTGCCTTATACTAGATTGTTGATGCTAAATTTCATGTGAGCATACTTTAAAATATTGAGACTTATGGGTAGCTTTAAAGACACTAGTTATGTCTTGTTACATACAGACATCAATAATACATTTTGCTATTTAACTGTCTTAAGATGCATCTGCTGATTTAATCATCAATATATTGCTATGGGGAGAGGAAGCTGCTGTAGGTAGCCTATTTGTATTTGGTAATAGAACTTGGCAAGGTATTTTCCAATTCATTTTTGTTTCTCTTAAGTGATATTAAGAAATTCCTTTTGTACATTATGTTGTGAAGGATCAAGAGAGGACCCAATAACTTACAAAGACACTATTCAGGGTTAAAACAGAACATCCTTTATTTACAGATTTTTTCTTTGCAGGTATCTGGAACAACCAAGGGAGGAGCAGCATGGGACGACCTTAAGTACCCCGAAGGCGGAGTTTCAGGTAAGGAGTGTCCAGGGAAAGGGGAGGGGGCCAGATGTGTATGGGTTAACCCTTGAGATGCCAGGCTGGGGGAAGTGTGTGAAGCAGGTATGGCATTTACATGTGACAAATCCCCCTCTAAATGTCTAACCTGCGAGAGTATTGCTTGCTGTTGTTGGGGGCTGTCATTGTGTATGCCTAGCTTGAACGTGAGATAAGTGTGTTGCTTAGATGGTAATGGTTTGGTGAGTATGTCAGCTGTCTGTTCTTTGGTGTCACAGAGTATGGTACTGATGAATCCTACCTTGGAGAGTTGCCTTACGTGTTTAAGTTTAATGTCAATATGTCTAGACCTCTGTCCTACTGCATCTGCCATGGATATTTCGATGGTGGCCTTGTTGTCTTCATAGATGGTTATTGGATATGCGGGTTCGGTCCAGATGCTGGAGAGAAGGTCGTCGAACCACGTTAGGTTATTGGCTGCTTTGGAAAGGCATATGTATTCAGCTTCGGTGGTTGATGTTGCCACCAAGGTCTGCTTACCGGTGTACCAATATACAGGGCTGTCGTTTAGGAAAAATACGTATCCGGATGTACTTTTTCTACTTTTTGCATCTCTGGCCCAGTCGGCATCTGCATAACAGGTGAGTGTTGGTTGTTTTGTCGTATCCGGTTCTAGTTGCAGGCAGGCTTCCGAGCTGTGCTTTAGGTATCTGAGTACCCTCTTGATTGCTTCCCAGTGATAGGCGGTGGGATTACTCACGTGTCTGGATAACAAATTCACTGGTAGGGCGATGTCCGGTCGGGTCCAGTTAGCGATGTACAGGAGAGATCCAATGGTAGATCTGTACAATGTGTTGTCCTTGAACTCTGGGGCCTCACTGTACATGTTCTTCAGGAAAACTACTTGCATGGGAGTGTCGCTTGGTTTGGCTTCGGCCATGTTGCATTTGTGAAGTAGTTCTGTGATTTTCTCCTTTTGCGATAGGCGAAATCCCTTGGGTGTTTTGTTGATCTGCATGCCCAGATATTTACTTACTTTTCCTAGTGACTTCAAGGAGAACAGTTCACCCAGTTTGTTTGCAAAGATGTCACAATCCTTCTTGTGCTTGCCAATGTAGAGAATGTCGTCCACGTAGATGAGTACGTACTCTGGGAAGTCATTGCTTTTCCTGGTGAAAAAGCAATTGTCTGCGGGCATTGCTTTGAACCCTATGGATTCGAGTACCTTAACCAGGCACTCGTACCAGCGTTTTCCGGATTGTTTTAGTCCATATAAGCTTTTGTTGAGCACCCATGTGTCCCCTTTGCGTATGTCTCTGCTGGGAGGGGCCTTAACGTAGATCTCTTTGTCCAGCTTGGCGTGCAGGTAAGTGGTCTGCACATCGAATTGGTACACATCCAGGCCTAAGATGGATGCAACGACTAATGCACTCTTAACGCTTTCAGCCCTCACAGTCGGGGAGTAAGTCTCGGTGTAGTCTTCAGGATATCTTTGGGCAAACCCCTGGGCTACGAGTCTCACTTTGTATAAGGCCTTGCCACCTTCTAATGTTTTGATTTTGAATATCGACCTGGTTCCTATGGGATTTTTGTCCTCTGGCACCCTAGCAGGTGTGAATACGTTCAGTTCCTTGAGACTGTCCCTCTCTTTCTCCATGGCTGCTTCCCATTTGGATCTCTCTTCCTGGGGGAGTCTGATCACCTCGTCATAAGAGTTCAGTGTGATGGGGCTGTAATGTAAGTGTATCACGTAGTCCTCGAATCTTTTGGGCATTTGATTCCTGGTAGTCCTGACTGGCCTTTTGGGAGAGGACTCGGTGTCATGCAGATGTCTTGCTTCCTTTTGTGTGAGCGAGTCTACCTTTAACTTGGGGTGGCCTTCCTTCCACTCATTGATCTCGACTTTCTGGCGTTTGGGTTTGACCCCTTCCTCGTGCGTGTTGTCATGTGAGTTCGGGTTGTCCTGGCCTTGAGTGTCATGAGGTATCTCCTGTCTGTGAAATATTTTGTTCAGGTGTATTTTGGACCAGTTAGTCTGTTCATGGAATGTGGCGGTCCTGGATATAATGAATCGGTTGTTGTTATCTATGA